TTATGTAAGGTATTGATTGAGATAAAAAAGTCAATGTCACGAGCGGAATTCGAACCCACGACATTCGGCTAAATACGCCGCTGCTCTACCACTTGAGCTATCGTGACTTCGATCCAGTCGGACACCTACTCCCCATCTCAATGTACCTTTGGAATCTTCCTTCCTTTTTGCCATTTTTCAAATGACTTGTAATCTATTTGATTCTCGGCGACAAATTAAATAGCCACGGAGAGCTTTAGTGAAGATACACTTAATTTTAATTATTAAATCCATTAGAGTTCGTGGTCCGATTGTCCAAATAACTTCTTTTCAATTAATTAATCTTTAGTGGTAGAGCAGCGGCGTATTTAGCCGAAGGTCGTGGGTTCGAATTCCGCTCGTGGCATTGACTTTTTTATCTCAACCAGTACTTTACATAGAGATTAATTAATTGAAAAGAAGTTATTTGGTCAATCGGACTGCAAACTAAGGGATTATGTATTTTGTTATAAAACAATACGCTGAAAATGTCAAATACTTTGTAACAAAACTGATCAGTAATTTAATCATAACTTGGAACTGTTAGGGACCTCGCATAGTCACAGCTTAGGATAACAATTTCATCACTAACCATTAAAATTGAATAAATACGTTATAAATTAATAGGTTTGAAAGATATTAACATTGCATTTTCCCAATCAAATGGGAAAACAAATTTCAAACAATTTCTAACAAAACTTTATGTATCACCTGGGACATTTCCTAGTTGCTCGATGTCGCACATAATAGAGGTTTGCCATGCCTTGGCTCCGTAGAGAGAGCGTATAGGCATGCCGTTGAATTTAAGTTCACTAATTTCGTGGTCCGCTTGACCAATTAATATATTACAATTAATTAAGGTTTTTAGTTGAGATAAAAAAGTCAATGGCACGAGCGGGATTCGAACCCACGATCTTCGGCTAGATACGCCGCTTCTCTACCACTTGAGCTATCGTGACCTCGATCCACTCGGACACTAACTTCCCATCTCAACCCCACCTTTTGAATTTTTCCACCTTTTTGCCATTTTTCAAATGTCGTGTCGATAGCTCAAGTGGTAGAGCAGCGGCGTATCTAGCCGAAGATCGTGGGTTCGAATCCCGCTCGTGCCATTGACATTTTTATCTCACCTAAAAACCTTAATTAATTGTAGTTGAATTTAAGAATGGTACTCGGACACGGTAACGAGCGACGGGGTCCCCTGATCTCCTTTTTAGAGGACATGGTTTATTTGATTGTATACACATCTGTTTTATATGAGTGCGTGTATTTAAAGGTGTGAGTGGTGAGGTTTTTATGTTGAAATATGGCGTCACCATCGCCCCTCCAGTAGTGTGTTTAGGGTGTATGTGGAATATTTATAAAAGTACATTATCAACTCTAATTTAGATTAGATTATTACTACTGGGTTCAGGTCGATGGAAGAATATCGAGTACTCCACCGATTAATCAGAATGAGTGCAATGTAAATAGTGTATTTGTGCGGCTTTATTATACATGTTAATTTAAGGCTAGATTATATTTTGCACCTTGGGGTCGAAATGACCTAGCTGTCGAACGTCCCTGTTGGTTGCGAAGCGATGAAGTCCTAAGCATCTGGCTTAAGGGGGAATACTAGCGACTCAGGCGCATAAAGGGGTAGGTGAACTCCCTGAGGTATAGACATAGCCCTATGGGGGAGTGATAACCCTTCGGTGTGAAAGCACAATACGTTGGATTTTTCCAATATGTTAAAACCCTCTGCATTCTAAATATAACCTGGCATTAAAATTGTTCCGTTCTTATAACATTTATACACAAACTATGCAATTGTTAATAAAAAACAAATATCGTATGATTAAAAACAAGATGCTTAAATAAAATATAAAAATAATTTAGAACAAGCCTCTCGGTTTTTTAAATTTCTTTTTATACCCGGAGTATGATTCTAGCTTCTAGCAACCCTGGGGAAGGATCTGAGGAACAGGACTTATGCGTTGACCATATATAATAAAAACATATCTAGGCTGATTTTATGGTTTTTATGAGTTCTACATGTACACAGACAACCCTGGATGTTAAAATAGATCAGAAACAAAGGAAGAAGATAAACAATCCAAAAAAAGAAATGTAAACCACTCAGTACTTTACTTACATTACATTATTAGGGGAGTACCATCGTAAATTCGTATATAAATTGGTCACCTTTTATGCAATATTTAAACTATTAAAAATATGATATATTATGTAAAAAATTACACGCTAATTAGAAAATAACATCGGATTTTAACAATAAGGTTTTCAATCATTTGTACTTTGTAATAAAATTTCAGTGCTCTTTATGTTGAACCGAGCCTTTAGGTTCTTCTGTCGTGATTCCACAAAATTTGTAACACAATATTAAGAAAATAAAAATGAAGAAAAGAATGGTAAACCTGTCTGCATTTTAATTACAAATAAACAAGTTTAGAGTACTTAGTACCATCGTAATTTCTCATGAAAATTCGTCGCACCGTTTATAAACTTTTATAAATATGTATATGTATAATTATGTAAAATAAAGACGGATTAGAAAATGCCATCGGATTTTGCCTCAATTTGAATTTTGTACAAAAAATTCACTGCACTTTTTGTAAAACTCGAGCCTTTTAGGACTTCATAATGGCACGATTTCAGATAATTCGTCACACATGATTAAAAATATATATAAACTAAATACGTTAAGTAGAAAATAACTTTCCTTTACGGACACTGGCTATTTTGTTATCAATTAATTCTTAATGCTAAAGTCATTAGCCGAGTAAGCACCCGCTAAATGTTTTTTGTTCTTTTACTTATTCTCTAGCAGATGATGTGCTTTTATTCTAGTTATTTTATGCTCTGGTGTGCTTTTAATGGCCCAGCATGATTTTATTTTAATCTTTTTAGATCTAAACGAAAACAGAGCCGTATCATCTCAGGGCCAGTTTAGTTCAGCACAGTTTCACAGTTGATGAAACTTGGCCTGAGAACCGTCTCGCAACTCTGGGGCCGCATTCCAAATTTAAGAAACCGCATTATATCTGTGTTCAAAAGGCTATGATTTTGTTCTATGATCCGCTTAAAGTATGATCAGAAAATGATCGAAACCACAGCTTTTCACTTATTAAAATAAACATTCAGAGAGAAGCCAGTTTTTTTTACATAGTTTTAAAGAAGTATGAAAAATACACTGAAAATAATTAATTATACAATTAGTAACAACAAATAGTTTTATACTACATAAACTGCTGAAAAATGAATAGGGACAATGCCAATTTTGTAGTATTTACTTTCCCTAACATTTTTGTTTGATGCTTTTATAAATTGCATTAAAATTTATTAGAAATTGGTGTTTTTTACTGAAAGATCATTTAATTAAGAGATTTTGAAAAATAACAAAATAAAGGGGGCGTCGGTGGCCACAAGGTTTAGTCTTTGACACGGCGCTCATCACAGTAAGGTAAAGGTCCCGGGTTCGAATCCAGCAGCCCTGCATTCGAACCCAACATACTTACAAATGGGCTTTTTTAAAACACCGGCACCCTGAGGGTTTATATGACCCCTGCTGTTGCGAACCCTTGTAAAAAAAAATAAAAATAAATAAATAAAAAACGGATACAATAATTTTTTTAAATAATTAATACCGTGTAAAAGTCCTCTGTTATCTAAATCTTTGTGCATTATTGTTGATGAGCTTATCAGTAATTTCATAAGGAATTTCACTCCATAGATGTTGAAACGCTGCACTGTGTTGTTGCAGGTCTACTGGCTGCGGATGGTGATTGAAAAGCCAGCTCTGCCACGCATCCTACATGTGCTCAATGAGATTGAGGTCTGAAGACAATGGGGGAAAGGGCAGATGGGAAATTGCCCAGGTTTTCTAGACATTGGTAAATAACTCTGCCTCTATGAGGTCTGGCATTGTCATTCAGAAATCGAAAATCCCTGCCAATGAGATCTCTGGTTTGAGGGATGTATTCATCGATAATTTCTTGGGCATAACGAACTGCGGTGAGGTTGCCTTCAACAACATGGATTCCAGTTGGTCCTCCAGTATAAATCCCAGCCCAGACCATTACACCGTCTCCTTCAAACTGCACGGAAGGGAGCACGAACTAGGGATTGGTACCCATCCTCTGTTCTCGGTAGACTACGGTACTGTACACTATACAGTCAGAAACGCGACGTAACAGCATTCCAATTGGTGTTCTCTACTAAACGCTCACTGCACCATATTCTCTAGAGTAGCGGGCTGTTGCTGCAGGTCTCAAAAGGCCATACGATGAGAGGCCAACTACCTACAAACGATTACGAATCGTTTGGGTTGATAAAGGCCTTGCCAAAACATTTGGTACTTCATTTAGGATCTGGCGGGCCCTATGGAAAGGGTTCCACCTTGGCAATATTCCTATCTTCCCTTCTATCTTCCATATGCGCTGAAATCCAGGCTCCCTACTGGCACTTCCAGTCCTTCAGAATCGGGAGACCCCGCTCTGAGAAACGCCAACTGCTTCTGCGATATCCACTTGCCGGTGACCTCGATGACTCGTTCTCACAATAATATTGCGAACTTCTGGTTCAAGATGATGCCTTTCCATGGTTGAATAGAACACAACTGGACTAGAACGGAGAAAATGCGAGAAAAGGTGTTTGTTTACAAAATGAGTAATCTTCGTGTTTACTTTTCTTAAGTAACTCTGTTATTAAAACTGAGGACTAACATTTGTTTGTCTTTGGTTTGTGTTTTCTATTTTGTTTTATCCAACTAACAAGAATATATCGGTTATTTAATTAAAATTAATAGAATAAGAATAATTGAAAAATATTCCTATTTAATGTTGAGCAGTATATTAATGTGACTTTTCTTAATAATATTTTTCACATAAAATTTCTGTGCCATCATCTCCTATCGCACAAGAAATCCTAGAGGGCACGAAGAACAATTAGAAAAACCAGGAAGGGAACGGATAATAAAAACAAGGATTATATTAACCTTTTATAATTATAATTGCATCGAGAAATTTTACAGTTTGCTTTTTTAAAAACAGAATACACATGCGTACAGTTCAAAACACCAGCACTTTTTCTATTTTAGGCCGTTATTTTTCCCTTTTGGGACGACCCAGGGATCACTTAACTTTCAAATAGCCTCGGCCGTTGGCCCGATTCAACAAGTAACGAGATGCAGGAGCCGAACCTGTTCAGGGGTGCATGATCCGAAGATCGCTCAAAGTCTACAGGCCCTTATCAGTTCTCCGTCCAGTAGATTTGCATATAACACTGGACAAGAGAATGATAAGGGTCCGGAGCAGAGCCACGCATGATCCTCATCGGCGGACAATACCTGGAACAGACGAGATACAACGTTAATTAAATTTAATTATTATTTTAATATTTTTAAGGATTCGGTTAGAAAGCCCGGTTTTTTAGAACATACGAAGAGCACGATGTCTCTGGTATCTTCCAATACTATATCGGTTTTTATGACATTACAGTTTTTATTATGTCATTTCCTTCCAGCCAAAATTCTTCATACCATCCCATGAAAGTATAACATAAAACTTACGAACCGGCATGAAAAATGCCATCAATCTACGAGATGAAAATTCGTTTTTACACTTTTGCATTCGACAATTTTCAACAAACAAGCGGAAACTAAATTGAAACATTAAAAACTCCAGCGGATAATGTTTGAACTGTGATATATTTATACAAAGTCATTGAAAAATTTACAAAAGAAACGAGATAAAACTATTTATCTTCTTATCTCTTGATCTCAACTCCATTCACTAGTTCCTTAATCTTACTTTAATAATTTAAATATAACTTCCTTTCAAAATAAGCAGCCATTTTGAATTTAAATAGGGCTAGTTTATTGTTTTGTGAAGACAAAAGAAATCTCGGACTTACCACTTTAAAAAAAAAATTAATGTGCACAAAAGTTAAATTCATAAATAAGCTGTTTATTTTTGTGAACTTGGGCCATTTTCAGAACAATTTTCGACCTGGGGTAAAAATTTAAATGGTTATCAAGAGCCAAGGACCTAGTTTGACCTCGGCGTGTAACGAGTTATTAGAGCCTGGCACCAGATCAACGAAGACGTCAACCTGGGTGGAAAAACTAAAAACCCTGAATTTCCAATTTCAAAATATGCAAATGAACAAAATTAAAGAAACTTTCAAGATTATAGCACCTTTTCAATATGCCTTGTTGAATGGTTAATTTAAAAAAAAAATTAAAGAAAAAATCCTATAATGTAAAGCTACACAGAAAAAAAGGAAAAAAGGTTTACAAAAAGGATGTTTTATGTCGCGTCAAATAGTTAATATTGGCACATCTGGTTTTGAGATATAAGAAGGCGAACCGGACTTGATGTCAAGTCCCCATGACCTCCGTATCCGGCCTAAGTCACCTATTGCCGACCACCAACAGTTTTTTCGATTTTTTTTTAACACGTACATATTTCAATTATAAATTTGTTTTAAAGATCAAATGAATCTGTCATATCTGGAACAATTCGGCTTTCGGCCGGAAACACCATAGTTTATCTGAGAGATAACTACACCCGATAAGATGGACGGGGAGAAAAAAAAGCCACTCCTCACTGGGCCGAATTGAAATTTTGAAAACTTTCCTGTTACAAAAATTGCAAGTTGCTTAAGAAAGCGTGAAAAAGCACAGTATCGCGCTCAGAGTTGTATAAACGTAATCGTCTTCATGAAATATGGATGACACCATTTTGGAAAGATTGAAAGGCCCTGTGATATTGGATCTTGTGATATTATCATTCCAGATTTTTTATTTTTATAGGTCAAAAGCGTAAAGATTAAGCTTTTCAAAGGTTGCATTAAACATTATAAATTATTTAGTAATACGTACATGTGTGAACATTTTTCCGGCGAAGTGATGGAAGATGGAAACGGGCAGGTTATTTGGCCGTTTCGATGAATCGTTCCACAAAACGGTTGTGACAACGGGAGGGTGGATTTAAACAGGTTGTAGTGGAAGGGCCTAGGAGGCTATTTATAGTGATTAGGTAAGTACAGGAACAGGCTAATTGTGAAGTGGTGTTCTCACGAGGGTGTGGGAACTTGGGCAGATCCATATATTACCAGTTTACTGCAAATTCGTGTCGCCGTTTCTTGGACCGTGGAGTTCCACAAGGAACATTGTTTGCATTCCGGGTAACAGACCCCGAGAGAGGGAAGGGAAACTCGAACAAAAGTGGGGAGGGGCAATTCTCACGCCCTTTGTACCCCCTTTAACCCTCGCCCTTGCTCCGCTCTTCCCAAGGTACACGTGCGACACCCGAAATTCCACGAAAAACTGACTATAACGGTTTAAAAAAAAATCAACTACGGTTGTCTTTATGAAAAAATGTTACAGCATTATACATAGTAAGAAAAGTGTATTGAATAGGGACAAGAATAGACTTTCTTGGCTTTAGAAGCGTTATGTATATATGAGTTGAAGATTAGCGAGAACAGAGGGAAGGCATGCTAGGAAGTCGGCCCTAAAGATTATCCTTTGTGGAGAACCAGACCCTTTTCAACCTCCAAACAAGGGCGACCCCGGGCCCTTTACGAAATTTCCACACCCGGCTACACTTCGTCGCAGCGACCAACTGGGAAAGATTTTAAAGTTCCCGACGTCAAAAATGCTAATCGAAAAGTCCACAGGGAAGATCCCGACACCGGTGGATGAAAAAATTATTTAAAAAATCATAATAAAATTAAAACAGTACTTACTGAAAAAAAGAGAAAGGTCCGTCAGACACGAGTTAGTAAGCACAAATTAGTATTAAATTCACAAAAAATGTTTTGACAGAATTTCCGAAACCGAGTCACGTTCGGATACGGGCACAGACTGAACTCCGAAGTTCTGAGTAGGACGAGTCGGATCCAACGGCTTTCCCCCTCCAATCAGAACCATTCTAGTCATCCCCGGCCAAGTCACCGTTCCCCCCGATGGCCCGATTCGAACCAACTTGTGGCCCGGAAATCCGAGGAAAGTGCTCTAATTGATATAACCCTTTGTTATACCGACCGCTGATCGATCGTGATGGTTGTGATCGTAAAATGAAATATTGAAATTTCGTCGGATCAGAGGGCACGGAACATTGTTAATCTAAAAATCCATCACTAAGGTCGTGTATGAGGTCCCGACAGATAAACTGCACTGACCTCCTCCACCCCGTGGTGTAGAGAAGTGGAAACGCAAATAGCACAAATCTTTAACCGAAAGTCAAATTAATACACGTTGAGAAAGAAGAGTTCATGATGTCGAACACGAGATTTTCAATTCTTGCAAAAACATTTCCTTCCGCTTGACGGTTGTAGTTCTAATTTCAAAAAATAATTATTTCACTTTTTCTTCATTACTTCTACCCCTGTTTCACTAATTTTTAAGAAGTAGGTATATGTATTATACATAACACACACACAAATAAACTGATCTATTTTTTTTTTTTTTTTTTTTTTTTTTGTAGGGAAGGGAGGTTGAAAATTCGGCAAGGGTCAGCTGATGGTCTTTCGTATGATTCTCCCTTTCATTCTCTCACACTCAATCACTCTTTCTCACTCACTCCTCTCATTCACTCCCGCCCTTTCTCACTTAGTCACTCTCTCTCTCTCTCTTTTTTTTCTTTCTCATACAAATCTCCCTCACTCAATTTGCGAGATTTTTAAATAAAACGATATTCATTCACTCTTTTTCCCCCTCAATCAATCTCTCTCTCTCCGTGAAATAATGTTTCATTCATTTACTTTAAAATGCAGTCTGCTTGAATATTTTTCCAATTCCGAAATTTGGATTAGGCAGAAAGCACTGTATAATTTTAAGGGAATGTTATAAACTCTCATAAATTGCCAGTTTTTCAATATGTATATAAATTAATTTATCGAACGTCCATTGAGTATGTATTAAGGTTTTTTTCAAAAAATATAACAAAAAGTTATTAGTATTTATGTAAAGGTTCTATCTTTTTAGTTACACTTATTTTTTCAAAAGCAAAAAAGTTTATTTAATATTAAAATCAATTATAAATCAGAAGTTATAATTAGTTAATTATTGATTGTATCATGAAAAGGAAAAAATTGTCGTGTTACCAAGGAAGATGACTACATCAGGCTGACGGGCCATGCCTTAAATGTGTTTAATGTTATCTGTATTTTTATTACTTGTTTCTTTTGTAATAAATAATAATAAATAACTTTATCTATCTATTTATCTATCTTCAAATAAATGTGGATTTCGTTTATCAAAACGCCCAGAATTGATTCGAAGCTTTCCATAAAGTATACCTCCAGTAGACTAGTGTTTTTATGTTTAAAGACTGTGGTTTTCCTTTGTTTAACCATTTCATTTAAAACCATTTGTGTTTCAATTATAAAAATGTTGAAAAGCTTCATGGGGTATTCAATAAAACAGGCATTTTGCTAAACGAAAACTTTAAAAATATTAAGATTGACAATTCAACATTTATTGTATTACACCTATCTTTTCTAATCAATCGGGGCTTGTAGTCTTAGAAGAATTTCACCCTGCCGAGGTTATCGATCTGACAGATTCGACTGTTCCAGTATAAATGTTTACACCTCTGCTTTTCTTTTCGACATTTCCCTTTTCTCTCTAGTGCGCCTTTTTCTGAACGCATCTCCAAATAGAAACGGAACGGTTCGGTCGTCGAACTGAACTGAAGTCAAGCATGTTTTCAATAGATTCAATATGACATAAGTTTTTTTTTTCTAAATGCAAATTTGAACCAAAAATTTAAACAAAATTGTTAAAATCAAATTTACCCTGTCAGGATGACTTTAAGAAAACTAATAAACATTGTTTTATTTTAACAACAGACCGATACGTGCTTCTCTTTCTTCACAATTTTTTTTCAATTTTGCTCATTAATATATAAAAGGGAAAAATAATTTTTTTTTTCAATTTCAATCAAGTCAAATTTTATTTAAATGATAAGAAAATTATTGTCAATCAACCTTTAAACCAAAATCCCGTTTAATTGTTCTTTTTTAATTCCGGTACGACATTGTTTATTGAAACAAGTCATATTTACAACGGACTGAATAAACATCTAATTTAATAAACTATCGATTTCCGCGTCATAAATGGACCCAACTGCGGTTCATTGTTCCACTTTTCAAGCGTACGACGGCTCAGATTATCAATTGCAAACGTTTTGGGGGAAGAAAAAAATTGTTATTTGACGTCGCTGTTCATTCCTTTCTCGGCCAATCGAAGGATGACGGCGTAAGACCGTCTACGATTTGACATTTAAACAAACAGACCTGACAACTGACAGACCTGTGACGTCGGGGACTAAAGGAATT